TAAAATAAAAAGAATGCTAACTGAGCCTGAGCAAGAGGGGCCAAGCCAGTAAGTAGAGTTCCTCCATGGTCTCCACTTCAGTTTCTGCCTCTAGGTTTTTCCCTTGAGTTCCTGTCTTGGCTTCCGTCAATAAAGGACTGTAACCTGTAAACCAAATAAACCCTTTCCTCCCACAAGCTGGTTTTGATTAGTGTTTTACCACAGTAGCAGAAGGCAAACTAGAACAAATAGGAAGGGCTAAAGAAGTGGCAAGTTGGCTATGCCAAACAATCTTGGAATTTATTACTTTTTATTATTTTTATTTTATGTATATGCATGTTTTGCCTGCATGTAGGTAAGTGCACCCATGTCGTGCAATGCCAGCAGAGGACAGAAGAGGCTGTCGGATTCCCCTGGAACTGGACTTATGGACAGTTGTTAGCTGCCATGTGGGTGCTGGGGATTCGAATCCGGGTCTTCTGCAAGAACAACCTGTGTTCTTAACCGTGGCACCATCTCTCCAGCCCCACAATCTTGGAATTACTTTAAATTTCTGGACTTTAAGTGATTCAAAACTGTCGGTTGGGCATGATATCTATCTTAGGCCTACAGTCTCAGTACTGTAGAGGTTGAAGCAGGATGATAGGAAACTTCAGGCCAGCTTCTTTTATATAATAAGATTCTAAGAGAGAAGTTGGGGTAGGCTCAGGCTTTAGACTCTGTACAGAGTAGTGTATTGTTCCTACATCATAGCTCTCAGAACCCCAACTCAAAGTATGGAAAATTTGACAGGTTCTTTTTCCAATTATTATTACAAAGTAGTATGAAATAGTCCAAAACCCAACTACACCTCTCAAATATCTTTTCCAGACTTAAGTCTTACTTGAGCAGAAAAATAGACTCATGTGTTTTGCTCCTCTCTGAGTTTTTTTCTTCACTTTCAGCCCTTCGATTTTTTAAAAATTTATTGTTATTTTATGTGTATGCGCTGGAGTCCAGCTCCAGCTGAGTCCAGGGCCTGAAGGAGTGAAGGTAACTGCGGCGGTAGAAATGACTATACCAGAAACCACAATTGCAGTTCTAGTAGAGGCTGTTGACTGACCCGCTCGGGGGTGGTCAGCCCGAATATCTTCTTTCTTTTTCTACTTCTCTCTCTACTTCTCTTCTGAAAGCAGCCTTATACAACCTTTATTTATAATTAGAAAT